TCTCTTTCTTAACCAAAAATCTTAATTAAATGAGGGTTGCCAGACGGTGCATCTGTGCGTGGAAGAGAGGGAGGAAAATCCCTAAGTGGCAGTTAAAACTCAGCACATACTTTTATGCTGATGTTAATCTGTGAGGAAGAACAGTATGTGAAGTTTTCTGTAATTTTGTCTGTTTTTACAGGGCCGCTATGGCTGCTGTCGCTTTCTCCGAGATGGTTACAAGACACCCAGAGAGTCACTTCTGATATATATTTTCAGTAGACATTAGGAAGAATTTCACCTCTTGTTTATAGACATTTTTTGTCTCATTTACATGAAGGGATGAAGTTCTGTATCGCTGTTAAGACATGTTAGTGGATTTGGAAGTAATCCAGGTATCCACCCTAGATATGACACATAGCTGAGGGAGGCTAAGGGTTTGAAACCCAATTATTAAGGACAGAACTTAATTCATAATTAGAACTTAATTCATAATTCTGTAAGAAATGGACCCTTAGATATGCTTATGGTGCCTAAGTGGAAGCGATGTCTCTGAGGCGTCCCAAAATATCTTTGAACTGAGGCAGAGCCAAGATTATTTGGGTGACACCTAGATTCTGAGACTGGGAAGGGTTGATTTGTCTAGGGAACGATTAAACGAGTTTGAGACTGAATGCGAAAAAGAAGTCAAGAGACTGCATGGAAACTATTTCTGGTGTTTTTATTGGTTTCTTGGTTTTAATTACTTGTACAAAATGGGCTGCCATTATGATTGGAATATGAGTGACTAATTTAGCACTGTGACTAAACGAGTATGATTGAATTTCTAGGATCCAAGCAGGCTGCACTATGATCCTGCTGAGCTCAAGCTCTTTGAGAATATTGAATGTGAGTGGCCGGTATTCTGGACATACTTCCTAATTGATGGAGTATTTAATGAGGACAAAATTCAGGTGAGGAAAGAAGAAATTACTTTCAATGGAAATGCAAAGCCATTACCCACAGTATTTTGTAGCTTTGCTCCATGTTTATTTTGGGTATCAGTTGGATACCCCATCAGCAGGATGGGAGTAGTCTTCAGCCAATCTCACCTTCCTGGGGAGTTCTTGATGTGGTAGAGGCTGCAGCGCTGTGCACACTGGGGCCTTGTTGCCCTCTGTCTACTAGGTTGAGTGGCTCTGTTAGCTGGTGTGGTCAAACTGGTCAAACTGAATGGGGTTAATTTGCCTGGTTCTGTCTGATTGCCAACCTTGATGCCCCTTTCCCAATTACTGCAGGATGAGACCAGCTTCTTTTTCCCCAGTCTCTGTGGCTTGGCTGCTGAGAACAAGATTCATAGTACTTTTTGTACATTCAGGGAGATTTGGGATTGGATTATGAGGACCTATTTAATTTTCACTAATTTCCTAAGTTAATTGATGATTCCCTAAGTTACTTCATGCCTTTACTGTGTCAAGCATCCAGTGGTCAGGGGTGCTAAACTGATTGTAGCCCTCCAAAGGTTATAGTGGCACTTGGAGAGTGTCAGTAAATTAAAGAGCAACAAGTATCCAGGACTAAATGTATTCATACCAAGACTTCTGTAGATTGGTGGCTTGAAGGAAGTAAAAAATACATGTAACTTAAAATCGCCTAGGGTGCCGAGAGACAGGAGATTGCTAAACATAACCTCTTAAAAAATAAAACGGCATCATAAACAAAGCAGGGAATTTCAGACGAAAAAGCCCTCTTTCTGTACCAGATGTTGTAAATCAAGTGAAATACTGACGCTAGAAATGTAAGTTGCTTTCCTGAACACAGTAAAAATAGTCTGGTGGAGAGAGAAATGGCATTATTTCATGAGGGGGGAAAAATTGGAAAGTTTACTGAAACTTCAGTCATGTCGATAAAATACCACTTCACAAAGCAGTCTCTAGAATACAGTTGGATTATCTGGGATGGTGTGTACCTGGTTGTCTTTACGGTGTGCAGATGGGCTGTGCTAGGGCATGGTCAGACCGGGCAATTGCTCCTGGTTCCCACTGTTTAAACATAGCTGAGTGAGTCACTGAGACACTCAGGTGAGTGTCTAGTCTTCCCCAGTTACTTCTGCAAACAAGTGGTTGCAATGGCAGCAATTGTTAGAAAAATAAGCACGCTGCGGACTCAAAAAGAGTGGAGAAGGACAGGATACTGAAAATATCAGTGTACCATAATATGAACCTGTGGGTACCTTACCTTGCGTGTTCCACGATTATCAGAAAGGGATAGCAGAAATAGGATTTTGGAGGCAGGTGCTGGTAGTGCTTGAAAACAGCTTCCCTGTAAGTAAAAACTTGGAATGGGATAGTTAAGAAATGGAACAAAATGAGGGATCTGGTAAAAAGAATATTAAATGTTCTTTATTTTGTATCGGTCTGGTATTCCTGTCATAATATGTTGTCTAACAACACAAGAACAAGAGGATTTTCTGTTCAGTTAACTTAGATATTTCTAAACAGTTTAAATGTATTTTAAGTTTTCCGTGGGGCAAATTTTTAAGCGAATCAGTTAACAGAAACTGATTTCCCAATCCTGCAAAGCAGAATTCAGAAAATCAGAGACAAATGTGTATGGTAGAAAGCTAACAATTTATACCCCTTACACTTTTATGGATATTAGCAGTCCTGACATCCATGTCACTGCATTGTCATCTGTTGCAAATTTCATGTAGGATTTGTTCCAGTGACTTCTTGATAGGAATATGTTAGAAGTTTTGTACTGCAGTGGTGTGTTATAGATTAAAGATGTGTGTTCATGTTTCTGAGGCTGATAATGTTGAGATGCTGGAACAGTCTCTGAGAATTTGAACCCTGATCTTCCATCAGCAAGTCATGATTCCTCCCCCCCCCTTTTTTTTTTTAAATGAACTTTCAGCAGAAACGTACTGTTGGAAAGTACTAAAACTTCTAGTTTACTGTTTCTGTTTTGCTGATTGGAATGCGAATTCTCACTCTCTTTTAAAAACATTTCCAGGTACAAGAGTATAGAGAGGCTCTGGAAGGAATACTTATTAGAGAGAAGAACGGAATAGTGCTAATGCCTGAACTGTATGCAGTCCCTCCAGAAAAGGTATTGTGAAAATGCAGCATCCACTTCAGTATGCAAAGTATAGATATCAAGATGAATGTCAGTTTTATGGTTTTCCTGTAGCTGATAAATCTAAACCATCAATAAAAAAGACTACTGCACATTATTTAAAAACTAAAGAGACCTCTCACAGCTCCCGCTGAGAAACGGTAAACTTTAGGTTTCCAAATGGTCACATTTTTTACTTGGGAATCTGGATGCCAGATTATTAGAGCAGGTCTAAAGTTTTAAATCCTCATAGCAAGACATGTATTTTAGAAGTGCTGATGCTGACTTAGGAACTGAAGCTCAAAGAAGAAATAAAGCATAGACTCTCCTGCCTGTCTAGTCTATTGATTGATCGTGCTCTTTCTTTTCCAGAGCTTGTATGTGAGAGATAAACAGGTTTCAGATGGATTAGGGTTTGTGCTGGGTTTTTTGTTAGTTTTTCTCTCTCTCCCCACCCCCCCGCCCCCCCCTTTTTTTTTCCCCCCCCCCCGCCCCCCCCCCCCCCGCTGTTACTGTTCACCTGATTCTCACATTGTGACAGAGAAATTCAGACGAGCTTATGTGCTCTTCCATGCTATTTGCCTTTGTATCCCTCCCCGCCAACTTCTTCTCCCGCTCTAGACTTCTCGGCCCTCACTCACTAAGGGTGTGGAGCCTGCTGGGTTGGTCTGAGTTTGGGCAGGGAGTGTTGACAGCTGATGTCTTGCTCACAGATCTGAGGTGGAAGCTCTGAGTTGCCTTCCTAGTGGGAACAAGTGTGTAAGAGTTTAGAGCCTTCTTTTGAATTTTGATGTGACGATGATCTGATGAACATGCCAAAAAACCAGGGTAGATTTTGCCTGCCATCTGTAAATTTTAAAACGGCTATGGTAAAGGTATTCTCTAGGAGGGTTTTTCCCCTGCCCTCAATTGATCTGTATACTGCAAAACCAAGGCAGTTTTTCTTTTTCTAAATTAGTAAGAGTCTACTCTTTTTTCCATTGACCATTCTTGCTAACACAGGAAAGGTGGAATAGCCTTCATTTTTGGAAAGCACCTTTACTTCAGGAAGCTAGGTAGGCATCAGTGAAGTTCAAGTGTCATCTTGCAAGGGGTTGGAAAGCAGACACACAATTACCTACAAGCTGCCCACAGGGAAGGCAGCAAAGGCATGGTGAGAAGAAAGGGGAAGTGCTAACACCAAAGCATGCAGAGTCCCCATTCAACCTCCAGCTTTGAAGGGTGGAGCAGTGAATGAAAATGAAGCATAGTTCTTGTCCCAGAAAACGTGCAGCCTTAAAAGTAAAACCAAGAGATCTGGATGTCAGTAATAACGGCAAGTTAGGAAGGGTAGATGATAGGCCATATTTTTTCAAATACTTCCATGTTATTGATTGTTCTTCACAACTTGAGGGTAATTTTTCTTGCTTATGCGTTTGTTTTCAGGTGGATGAGGAGTATGAAAATCCTCACTCAGTGGATCGTATACCAGTGGGAAAATTGCCTCATCTTTGGGGCCAATCATTGTATGTCCTTAGCTGCCTATTAGCAGAGGTAATTGTTTCTTGTATAGTAGGTGAGCTTGTATTTCATTTTCTTTTGAGATGGCTTGGGCTCTAAGTGCAATTTGGTTGACAGGAAGGGGACAATGTGTTTTCCAGTAGAAACGTACATGAACCATGGAGGTGTGACTGTGAGCTTTCAGGAGCTTTTTTTTGGTGTGTGTATATATATATAGATATGCAATTGTCTTTCTAATCAAGCTGAATAAGTTGTCAGATGGACTGGATATACAGTTAGTCTAGAGGAATATGCCCAGGCTGACTTGGCTGTCCCAGAGCTAGGATTTTGCACTGTTTCAGCTCCACTAGGCTATGCCTTACTCTGAGGCATAAAGTGCCTACAGAGTTGTCCCATATTAGCCATAGACTTGTTAAAGGAACCGTTGAATATCTCTGTGGAGCTGCAAAAAAATCACTGGCCTGGCAAAATTGAGTCAGTTGCTGCTACTCTAAAATCTGAACATGCAGATTGTGTCAGTCATAACCATTTTCTTGTTGTTCTGAAAAATATTGCAGCCATTGTTTTTATTGAATGTACTACTTAGTGGACGGGGTAGATAACCAGGCTTTCAGTCCTGCTCTCCTGATAAAATATGAAAATCGGTTAAGATTTCTTCTAGATGTCATCAGAAGCCTTTTATTTAATTTTTGTTCGTTTCCCTTCTTTTTTTTTTCTCTTGCATTCATTCTAGGGATTTCTTGCTGCGGGTGAAATTGATCCCTTAAACAGGAGATTTTCCACTGGATTTAAACCTGATGTTGTGGTACAAGGTGAGGGAGTTTTTTGAACATTCTGGGTGAATTGGATCATGTGATGGCGAAGTCCAGGCGAGAAGAAAGACATGTTTAAAAACAATGTGGATTTTTGCATGGGATGTGGATGCTTTGATGATACTGTGAGAAGGAGAAAGGGGTTATTTGCTTAGCTGCCTTTTTCCAGGAGGGAAGATCGGGTTTAACAAAAGTTTTTTAAAAATACTTGTTAAAATTTTAAGACTTGTCAGGGACTGGGGAGTGGCAAACTTAATCTTGTAGTGAAAAGGAAAATCTTGGTGGATTCTAGCAAGAAAGAGCAGGACTGCCAGGAGACACGTCAGTTTAGTTAGGTTTCTGTGCAGCCCCTTTTTGGAAGAACCAGAGAGCAATGAGTGGGGAGGATCTCTGTACACAGAGATGAGGCAGCCAGACTTATGGCTATCTTTTGGCTGCAGCAGGGAATGGCTTCTTTAGTCAATGGAGGAACAGCCGAAACCAGAGGGCAAACCCCAGCCGATAAGGGCTTGAAGGCTTTTCAAGGACCTGTACCACTCTGGAAAAGCAACCAGCTTGTTTATCAGGAGAAGCCGTAATCAATGATACTGTGACCTGGGCAAGTGCTTGTTTACCCTCTGTTGGTGTATCGTGGGGATGGCATTTTGTTATTCTGAAGTGCTTAATTTCTAGCAGAAATAGATGCTGGCTTATTTTTAGCATTCTTTGACAAGAATTTATAACGCAAAGAAGAATACTGAAGTATTAGTCCCAAACCAATAAGCCAGCTAACATGGGCAAAACCTCAAGCAGGACAAGGGGTGGGATCAGGGCCTGGATTGTAAATTCCTCTGATTTTGGGACTTTTTTTTTTCCTACCTCTGCCACTTTATGGCCTCTGTAACATTTATTGCTATACAGGTACAGCACCTCTTCCCCATTGACTCGGCTGTGTTGTTATAGTGTACTCTATTAAAACAATGAAGATTTTCAAGTCACGTTTCCTCTTGTTTTACGGGGGAAAAGCCCTATCTGCTGAAGGAGACTGCATGACCCAAACTAGTGGTACTGAAAGAAATTGGAAGAAATTGATAAAGCCCCAGAGAACATGGTCTAGCCTCAGAGCTGACCCTGCTTTGAGCAGGAGGTTGGAGTAGAGACCTCGTGAGGACCCTTCCAACTTGAATTACCCTGTGATCCAAAGTGGACAAGAATGGCAAGACATGTTAAGAAGCAGAGAGCCAAAATCTGTCTGATGCCCTTTTGATCTCACGGGCTCATAAATTGAGAAAGAATTTAGGCCTTTGTGCCTTTTTAGTCAACTAAATACAGTAGTTGAGAGGTGACAGTAGAAACATGCAGTTAAAAAGAGTCGAACATTGGTTCTTAGTAGTGTTTTTGTTTTCTGTTATGCAGTAACTGTTTTGGCAGAATCTAATCAGATTAAGAATCTCTTGCAAGACCGTGGAATCAACGTTCAGAGCATTGCTGATATCCATCCGCTCAGAGTGCAGCCAGCTCGCATCCTGAGTAATCTCTACACCATGCTGGGTAGGTATTTTAACATGGAAGCCTCTCACTACTGCTGTGCAAGGTATTTTTTGAGGGTGGTGTTTTGATTTTTGTTTTTCTTGCTTCACACTGTCTCCATTTCTTTGATTTAATTTCTTTTATTTAAATCAATTTCTTTGATTTAAAAAAATGCATTTGTGCAAAGAAGATTAACAAAAATGGAACGTCTGTCTTAAATAAGGGACTCCCACAGGAAAAAAAAAAAAATTGCCTCATTAGGAAAGGTGGCCAAAATACAAGTTTTCCTGTGCCCTTGGAGTTAGGCAAGAACTGTCTCTTTTTTTTGTACTGCAGGAACTACTTCCACAGAGAAACTGGCTTTAGAAAAAATGCCTGGAAAAACACAGAAAAAACCCAAATCTTCTTCCTTTCAGAAGTAAGAGTACTTCTGTTTTAAGTCTGGAAATTGAGCAGTGTGGATGCCATTCTATCAGCAGACAGCCTGGGAAGTTTTCTGCTCCAAATCAGGGAAGCCATGCTGCTATTGGAGCGTCTTTGGGCTGTCAGGTTCTTGCTAATGTTCCTTCCCACCCTGAGCTGAGTTGAGCTGCTGAAGCTCTCTGTCTCTGTTGCAAACTCAGAAGCCTTTAGGGCTTTTCTAAACACAGGACTTTAAATACGTTCCAGTTCCTCAACCATGGCCCTAGAGGCCTGTTTTCCCCAGAGCCTGGCAGTTGGATTAAATAAATGTCCCAAAACTCCTACTGGTTCTAGTTTAGTTGGAAATCTTTTGATAACACTCTCTTTTGATAATCCTTGATGGAATGAATGGGGTCTTGGTGGAAAATTTCTTACATGTATTCCTAATTGAACTAAGTTTTACTACTTCAAGCATGCCAGCAACTCATGACTCAAAATTGTGGATGTTACTGCAAAGTAAAATGGAGGTGGGGTGAATCAGCACTGGTAGATTCCTTTGCAGCGTGGACAAGGGGAGCCGTATCGTGCTTCTCTGTCAGTCTGGAGCATGTTCCCATGGCAATTTGGTGATGGATAATGCTGAGGGAGAGGAGTATTATATTAGAGGTTGTTCATGGAGTGGGTTTTGGTTTTTTTGTTGTTGTTGTGATGGTTTTTGTTGGGGTTTTTTGTTTGTTTGTTTTAACAGGAGGTTTTTTGGAAGCATCCAAGGTAATGGGACCTTCAAATAAGTCTTAGAAAGTGTGCCCTTTACACGGAGAAGAGAAATTGCATGTACTGCTTTTGGGAAAGAATTTGTCTCTTTATCACAAAGAACTTTTAACAAATGAAACATTTGCAGGGCTTTGCTGAAGCTTACATTTATTTCATAATAGTTCATAATAGCTTTCTTTCACTAGTGGGGGTGAGTAGGATGATTTGATACATTGGTGTATTGTTTTTAACAGTGACTTCTTTGGGAATGTTCACAGTGGTATTTTTTCAGGCACGTGGTTGTTTGGCTCATATTCCTTGTCAGACAGATTTAAGTCATCTCCTGGCTGCTGGAACAAAGATTGCAGCACAGATCATTTGCTAATAAGCTCTACTGAAAGAAGTGGGGCTTATTAGCCTGATGAATGAAAATTTTTGTATTTGGATGTACTTTGTATTTGGATTTAGCCTTCTGTGGGCAAGAATTTTTAAGGTTCTACAGTGAAAGCACGGCAATTTCTGTTATATGTTGATGCCCTTGTTTTTGAAAGGTCGTACCTCCTGTCCTTGGTGGGGAAGCTTTGGGTGCTGAGCAATGACTATAATTAAAAGACCCAATCCCATGGTCAGTGAAGCCAAAATTTTTATTTTTAATCAGGCCTTTGAAGAACTCTAGCTATTATATTGGTGGTTGCTACAAAACACACCAGTCTGTAGCATCTCACTCTGTTATCTGTCTTCTGCCTTGCTGATACAAATGAAGTAGATTTCCTTGTCTGAAATGGTTGTTGTGGAAAACCACATAGGAAATGTTAGGTGAGGCTTTTTTTTCTTTCTCTCTTCTTTACAGGCCGGAACAAGAACATGAAATTAAGTGGACGGCCACACCGACACATTGGAGTGTTAGGCACCTCCAAGCTGTACATGATAAGAAATCAAATATTTGCTTTTACCCCTCAGGTGAGCATGTAAAGCTGACAGGGAAATCACTGCTTGCTTAATGGCTAATCATTAGTGAAGCACTTTGCTTCTATATGCTGTTACACTACTTTAGGTAGAGTGGGGCTGATAAAGCAGATGTGCTTTTCTTTGCACGTTTTTTAAGAGCGTTGGGTGATCAGTATGGTAGGAGTGCTGATAAATCTCTCTTCTGTCATACAGAGTCTGGCTTCTTTGGCTTCTGGCTTAGAACACAGCAAATCAATAGTACAAAGTTGTTACTGATCTCTGCCCCAACCAACATTCTAGCTAATGAAATAGTTTCTCCGGAAATAGGTCACTTAATATATCTTTCTACTGATTGCTTTGGTGGAAAATTTAGTTTCACATAAGCATGCCAAGTACTATAACCCCCAAGAGGCTAAGATGTAACCTTTTCATTATATTGTTGAAAGGGTCAGTAGTGCTGAGAAAGGGATGTTCTGTCTTTGTTTTCTGTTTAGTGCCTTTTTCAGTGTAGCTGGAAGTTTGGATTCTCCCAGAATTAATGGCTCTTACTTATACATTTAATGAAATATGACACACTTAAGTCAGACACACTGACTTATTCTAGTGGTTGGTACTAGAAGGCCAAGGGATCACCTACTCCAAACATGTGCGACTGGAGCAGGATAACGAATGCTCACACCCTCCTAAATAGATGTTGGATTAATGTGGTCTTTAAATTCCAGTGGAAGCCATTCAGTGGACTCCGTAGATGGCTTCCGCAGTGCTACATGACGTCCAAACATCATCAGATTTACTGCAAATAATGTGGCTCCCTTTCTGTTCTTCCCCATGTCAATTGATCACAAGGAGCTTTGTAACATTGTTTAGTTGTTGTGTTGTTCCCCCACACCAATTTTCACTTTTGCAAATTAGGGAAAAATTCCTTGAGTCATGATTTTTTTTTCAAAATCTCTTTGTCCACATTTTACTATGTAAGTAGGACCCAATATTCCAGGTGAAATCCTGCCATGTTTCAAGTATGGATATACTTATTAATATATTCCAAAATGGCATTTATCTTTGCATCAGCAACACACTGACAGGTCCTGCTTATTCCATGTTTGACTAAAACCTCCATAACATTTTCCATTGTACTTTGTAGCCAGACATTTCCCCTGACTTTTTTTGGGGGGGTGGAATTAATGTTTAATTTCACCTTCCTAAGGTTAGCAGTTAACTCATTGGTGTTGATCTTGAGCAATGTCCACAAATTGTGTGGTTTTGTAGTTTGTATTTCATCCTGTTCTCTAATGAAACCATTGATTAGGTGTGGAGCAAAGGCTGACCCCATCTAGATACCCTCTCATTCTGAAAAAATGGTTGATAACTACCTTTTGAGAACAATTTTTCAAGCAGTACTGCCTCCTCGGATGTTTTTTCTTCAGCTCACTAGTGTGAAAATTTGCAGAAGTTGAGAGATGTCAGCCACTTTCTTGTACCTACCATCTAGTTGCTCCCAAAGAAGGAAATTGGACTGGTTTGCTGAGATTGGTTTTTGATATGACTGTTTGGCCATCTTGCTTTGTCATTTTGTAATTATCTTGGCAGTCTCAAATTGGCTTTGTTTTCCTGTGCTTTCAGGCACTGAAATTGGCTTGACTGGTGTATGTTATCCCGTCTCTTCCTTTTTAAAGACGGGCAGTGTGTTTGCTTCTCTCTGGATTTCTGGGACTTGTTCTTCCTGAATTATCAAAACTAATTGCGAGTGGCTCAGGGATTGTTTTGGCTAGTTCCTTAAGTTCCGTGAAGTAATTTCTCTTGAATTTACATGCTCTTTAATCTTTTCTTCCCATACTCAGGCTGGACTCCTATTGTTTCGTTAAAAGTAGTATTACAGGTCATAATTCACTACTTTTCTTCTGTCAGTAAAAACAGCATCGAATGCTTCAGCTTGTCTGTATCCTCTCTTCCTACCTCCTTCCTTTCTTTATTAACGGACCTATAGTTTCTGTATTTTCCTACTACTTCTGATGCGTTTACAGGGTATTTTCTCCTTGACCATTATGTGTCTTACTAATTGATGTTTCTTTTACATCCCAGCTTCCTTTTTCCACCCCTCCCCAAGGCTTATGTGCTTCCTTAACTTTTGTTGTGGCTGCTTTGACATACTTTCCATTGTTTGTCCAGCTTTTTTAGTTTCCAGCTCCTAAAGTAGCCCGTCTCTTACTGTGGTTCTTGGCTTTCCTCTGTAGTGGGAACAGCACGCTTTACCGTTGCACGTTTACTGTACCTTTTTTCCACAGTAACTGCCAGCTTGTCTGTATTCTGCTTGACTTTCAGATTGTTATCAAGAGACATACAGTTACTAGACCTCAGTCCCCAGTGTGCGCTTAAGCCTATTTATTGTTTTTTGTTGCTATTGTTAGCTTTTTCTTCCACATTTAGAGTACTTCTGTCTTCCAGATCATAGGTTACTGTAATTCATCATTGGGAAGATTCTACTTCATGGGTGTGATTGTCTACTTCTTATTTGTATGGCTTACTTCTTTCATGGTCAGCCTACAAGTGAAAGAAAACGGACTCTGCACAAGCATGGATTTCTTTTTCACAGTTGCAGGCCTTGTTAGGTTAATTCATGCAGTCTGTGTTGTTGTCAAGAATAGCACATACGGCTTTTGTGAATGATTTAAGGGAGGAAATGGAAAAAATTAAGGAGAGCACTGACAATTACTCATATGCCATCTCTCTCTGTTCTCTAGTTTACCGACCAGCATCACTTCTACCTGGCTCTAGACAATCAGATGATTGTGGAGATGCTCAAGACAGAGCTGGCTTACCTCACTTCTTGTTGGAGGATGACAGGGAGACCAACCCTGACGTTTCCCATCACCCACACAATGCTTGGTAAACTTAAGTTTCTCTGTTTCAAGCAGAGTAGATTACTGGAACGGAGTAGGATGGAAGTCAGTTTGAGAGGAGACAGGTGGCACAACTGTTTCAACATCTGAGTTTTAACATCAAAAGTACAGTTTAACTTTCTCAAGTGTATGCTAAATTTGGATGACATGGTAATATTTCATTTTGGTTTTACTCCCCCTTTATATCCTTGCATCTCCCCATCATCTCCATACTATTTCTGTCCAAAGAAATTTGATAGAAATCCCTTTGGAACTTGTCTTGAGTGGGTTGGGTTTTGTCTTGAGAAATCCCTTTAGAACTTGTCTCAGGGTTGTTTTTTGTTTGCTTGCTTGTTTGGGGATTTTTGAATAAGCTGGTATTGATAGCAGTTGTGGGTTCTGTTTTAAATTTGTCTTGGTTTACTTTGTAGAGAACACCCAGAAATCTACTTTATTTGGATACGATAATTTAAGAATGTGTTGGTAAGCTTCAACTCTTTCATTATTCTTTTTTAGTTGATGATGGTACGGACATTCATCCAGCAGTTCTTGCCACCATAAGAAAATTAGAGGATGGTTATTTTGGAGGTGCAAGGTAATGTCAGAACGCTCGAACGATTGTCTCCATGATTTTTTTAATTAAACCCTATACAAGCCTCAGTTTTGAACTTGTGATGGTGCACAGACCTTGTACTAGAACTCTGCAGAGAGAGAATTTTCACCTTCAGTTATTATGTGGCAATCAGATGGTAGTTGGACCTCAGATACAATGGAGAAGATCTATCTTCCAAAAGGTGTACCATCTCTGACTGCCATTAATGGATAAGGAAAAACAAATGTCAAACCTTTGGAAATACAAAAACTTGGTCTTGGCTGGGCTTCTGTTTTTAAGAAGTAATTATCTTTCACAATTATTGGACATATTTTAAACATGAATTGCATGTAGTACTTGCAAGCTTATGTGTTCCATTCATCTACATATAAAAGCAATTTAATATGATGCCGCAGTACCTCCCTATTCGTTTTCTGCTTGCCCTCTCTCAATCTAGCATCTTTCTCTGATAATCAGATGTGCCTTCTGTTTTTTAGCAGCACTGCTTTGTGAAAAGATACTGCTGTTCATGGGAACTTCTCAGACTCAGTTTCTCGTGCATTATCCTCGGAGTTTAGGTCTTTGTTCAGGGTCTCTCTTCATATAAACATACAGCATCCTGCATAATGAGGCTTTGAGTTAGGCCCGTAGGTGTTACCATAACACAGTGAAGTTCAATTAGTAGCTAGAGCAGTGAGTACCCAGCTGGATCTGCAACTATTGTTTTGCATTTGTTTTTCTCAGTATCAGTATCTGCTGCTTTGTAGTTACCAAAAGTGGATTTAACAGTAGGTCTCATAAATTTTGGAGGAGTCGTTGAAAGCTCAGTGAGCATTAATCAGTATCAAAATGGTGGCTGTTAATACACTTTGGCATGTGTTCCTGTTTGCAGGGTGAAGATAGGCAAGCTATCAGAATTTCTTACCACCTCTTTTCATACGTATCTGAGCTTCCTGGATCCAGACTGTGACGTAAAACTGTTTGATGGCCCTAATGAAGGCCGTAATAGTCCTGACAGTGAATGTGGAGGCTATCCAGCAGATTTCTGTGAAAAAGGTAGTGCTTTTTCACTTCAAATTTTTTCTCTGTCAAGTTCTATCAGCAGAGCCTGGGTTTATCTACAATGCAGAGTCTTTTTTGTGCGCAGTTGGTAGTCATTCAGGTTTCTCATGCATCAGTCTGAGGACAGTACCTGCATGACTTAATTTGGAGAAGGAATTTGTGCATATTCTTCCTGTGTTTGTAGTATGGTGTTGACCAGTAACTGCTGCAGTAAAGCTGAAGAGTCAGGAGATGGGGGGGCGTATGGGAGAGGCTAGAGGGAGGAAGAGACTGTGAGGAGTCATGTACAAGAGCTTGTGTGGAAGAGATGATAGAATCATAGAATCATTTAGGTTGAAAAAGACCTTTAAGATCATAGAGTCCAACTGTGATCTGTGGACTACCAGCAAGATAAAAATGCTTTTGCTTCCTTTCAAATGGAAAAACAACTTCTTACTGTAACTGTTTTCAAAGTGTCAAAAATGGATAAATTTTTTTCTTTCCAATTTGTTCAGCTTAAAAATCTCTTGCTTATGATATTCTTGCATTTTTGTGTGCCCTTCTATATAAGCAAGAATAGAGTGGTGTGTTTGAAAAAGAAAGCGCTGATAAATTATGATTTTACCTTTAATAAATCTTTTGTTTTATGTATGTCACACTAGAAAGCCAGGATGAGCTGGATCAGTATATAAATGATGTCCTGCAGAGTACAGCGCTGAAGTCATACCTGCCTCCAACTTCAAAGACTGCGAATCAATCGCCTGTGTTCAGTGCAAAGCATTCCACAAAAGAGATACTGTCAATAATGGCCAAGACAAAGGGCTTGGAGGTTCCAGGTATTTCTCCCTATTATTTATTTAGTGATAATAATAGAAAACCTGTTTCGGGTGCTACAAGGGGTAAGTTCAAGTATTTAAAAAGTCTGCCATTTAAAAAGAACTAGTGGCACAAATATGTTGTAGTTATCAGAAAGAATGAGTCTGAAGCTGTTGCTGTCATGTTCCCACAGTATCCCGTGTCTTGGTATATACATAAATAACCTGCTATGAAATGTAACATTTAATCAAAGTTCATGTTATGGAAACTGCTACACCTTCTCAGTTGGATAGAATTTTAGAACCTGAGTCAGGGCATTATTTTTTTTTGTCTTTGCTTATACAAAGGCAGACAAAATGTACGTCCTTATTTTAATAAAGTCGTGGTGAAATGAAATGTTTCAATGCCAGAAAAACATAGGTATGCACATGTACTTTCTAAATTTGTAAGAACAAATGGAGTAGAGAGGGAGGACAGTATTCCTAATTATACTACATTTCTAATAGACTGATTGGAGGATTTACACCAAAATAATGCTTTGACTGAATTTGTAAGCAGATTCCAACATACGCATTGTTTTATGTGTAGGCATGTAGTATTCAATGCCCTGGTTAAGGGAAGGCTTCCCTTAACTTCAGAGTAAATTAATAACTTCCAAGCTTTTTTGTTAGTCTTTTCTCCAGTCTTTCATGTGCCATATCATCTGATCCTCTATTGAATTCAACATATGAAATTAGCAGAGCGTTAGCCTGCATTTAGCATTATCCTTTTAATTATGACATCTTACCAGTTAGACCATTTTTTCCACATACCTCCTGTTAAAATGTTTAAAACACTTAGCAGGGTCAGGTCATTGGGCTGTAGGATTTCTGCGCATGGGCTGTCATAAGAGGTATCAGTTGAGCACATAGCACCTGAGCCTTTGACATGCTGATCTCAGAAGTTCTCGGAGCAAGCCTGCAAGGAGATAGGGTTCAGAACATGAGCTTGTCTCCTGAGTTCCACGCACAGCATCTCAGAAGCTTTGCCTCTATATTTTGACTCTTGGAGGTATTTCTGTGGTTTTTACCTAGTATAATTGCTTCATGTAGGTGTTTTTGATTTTCATTGTACTGAAACGGACTTTTTTTTCTGGTGGCTTTGCTTTCCAGCTGCGTCTATGTCTCTTCCCACTAAAGTTCTGAACAACCGGAAGTCTCTGAATCTTGTCGATAATCCCCATTTCTTTGAGACAAAGGTAAGCTGTGGGAATTTTTACGCTGTTTGTGTTTTTAGGACACAATACTGTGGCCTTTCCTGTGTTTCCCAGCCAAACCCTATGCTAGTTCTCATTTTCCTTCACAGACAAGCCATTCTCCCCAAGGCACTGGATAGCTGCTCCCTTGTTTTGGAATTTATTTTTTGGCTGGGTGAAGGTTTTTTTGGTTAAATAGACATTATCAAGTGGAAAATTCTTAATTGTGTGTGCCAAACAGAAAATAATATAATAGGTGCTTATTTTTAAAAGCCAAAGGTTATGTCATCGTCTTTAGTTCTAACTGAACACACGAAGGGAAGGATGGGATGTTCACGGCTTTCAGAGTTGTTCTCCAGGAAATGCTACTTATAGTAATGTCTGGGCAGGAGGGGAGTGTGTGAAAGGACAGGTGTCCTTAAGGCACCAGCCAAATCCCACTGCAAGGCATGAAGATGGGGTTGTGCCGGGCACTTGTTTTGTCTTAATATATGTGACCAGCTGCTGAGAATGGTTACAGGAGATTGTATCCAGCCTCCTGAAAGATTCTGCTCTACAGCTCTGTTTGTGGAAATGGTATTTTCGAACCATTGAATTTGCTGAATAGCTTATTAAACAAAACTTCTCTTCATCCAAGAACTTACCACAGGATTGCATCATCTGATTAGTTAACATGTTAGTTTCATAAGCTTGGAAAATTTATGATGGCAACATCTGCATTCATAAAACACCACATATATACAGGTTAGAGGTGGAACTCAAAAAGTTCTAAATTATTTCAACTAATAAAAGATAGTGTCCTGCTTTTCTCTTTACAAGTAACAGCAAATGACAGGAAAAGCATGCAAATAATTTGGTTTCTTTCTTTGACAAAATATTTCTTTGTTTTGTCCAAAAAATGGCTTTCCTTGTTGATTGAACCAAAACTAGAGACAAAGTTCCATTCTGGGTGTTGTGTTTCCTGGGATTAGTCTCCTTTTCATGTCTGCACTAGTCTGGCAAGAACTATGTGATGTGTCTATTTCAAGTGCAGGGTTACGTTGTAAGTCTGTTGTATTGTTTAATGGGAAGTTACAGTTTGAATGTGATCTGCTACTTTTTTCAAGATCACTTCTTTGATTTTTCATCCATCTTTGTTATCAGGACTGTGAAAATGTTTTGCACTTACCTAAAGATGCTCATGGTGATTTGGATTGCAGGAAGCTTGTTGAGCAGCTGAAGGAATGTCCAACGCTCCATGATCAAGCAGATATCTTATATATCTTGCATATACTGAAGTGAGTTGTCTGAGTATAAACTTCAGCATGTTTAAGTTTGGTCACAACTATCCGATTATTCTTGTGCAAAAGCTTTCCACTGTTCAGGGTTGTGTTTTGAGGGGACAGGTTAAAATACTTTGTGCTTTAACAAGCATATTTTCAGTTAGCATGATTACATAATTCCGATACAAAAAAATGCTTGTGCAAATTTCAGAGTTGATTGGCATACAGTTGCAAATACATACAGGCTCCAAGGCTCACAAGTGAAATGCACAAATCCTTTCCATGAGTGAGAACACACCTTGCTATATTTGTGGCACTGTTAAGTCCACAGAGATTTCGTGTGATTTCTATACACAAGAAGGGAAGTGGAGGGAAACTTCATCTTGTCATTTTCTAACTAAAAGCAAAATGCAATTTTAATGAGTAGTCACTATTTTTCCTCTAATCCCTCTGCATGTTTAAATGCACCACTGGCTAAAACTCGGTGCTCTTCAAAACATTCTTGGAAACATTCTAACCCCAGCTGCTGGGCTTAGTAAACAGCTGCTATTTAAACAGGTTTGATGGGAACAAAATGCAAATACAAACCAATGGAGTCATCTTCTGGAGTGCGTTTATTGGGCTTTTTTTCCTGTGCAGGAGAATACTGCTGGAACCTGGCAGGAAGTTAGCTTTGGCTGCGAAGACAAGCATGTGTTAATCACAGATGGTCTTACTGCTACAAAGATTGTATTTTTGTTTATTTTGGTCTTTCTCCTGTGAGGACCTCTTCTTTGATCTTGATTTCCCAAGCAAAATGTTTAGCAGCCTCTCTTAAAGAGCAAAGGAAATCCTGAAAAAATATCATTTTGTTGTTTAACTACATGCAGCACCCTTAATTTCCTGTTCTGGACTTGTTTCATCGTGGGAGTCTCTGTTGGGCAGGCAGGTGGACTTCTGGTGGACTCTGTCCCTCTAGCAGGAGCTGAAAGGTCATTCTGTGACGCTTCAAAACATTATCAAAGAGAAACCATAATGGAGTGAATTTCAAAACCAGGAGAGGAACAGAAATCTCCTTTGCTTTTTCAGTAATGGCATAAGCAGTGTGGAAGCTTAGTTGATAGCTAAGAAAGAGGCTGGGCAAAAAACTTAGAGATCCCCCTGAGGCATCTGAAAAATGGGTGCAGTCTTCAGCAGCACTGAAGACATTGCTGAATTCTGTTCTGAAAAAGCACCACATGGAGCGTTACTCCTGTCTTGCATGCATGCTCAATTTAAAGCCTGGTGGGAAATCCCTTGGGTGGTTGCTTTGAAGTCACAGACTTACAGCTAAGTGAGTGCTGAAGTTAATGAAAGTTCCTGCTATCAAGAGGGTTTTGTCCACATATAACTGATCTCTGGTGAAGGCCCACATGTCCCATGTGCTACTTAATTCTGTCACCAAAATGAGCAATGCGATCAAAACCAGGCTGCTTGTTGTGTGGTAAGGTTAAGCAGTGTAGCATTTTACCTGATGAGAGTTACCTTCTGTATCTGTTCTGGCAGAGGTGCTGACTGGGACACAGAGCTGGATGGACAGTATGGCGTCACTGTTCATTGCCTACTCAACGAGCTCTACAGAAAGGCAGGCCTCAATCAAGAATGGGGCTTGATCCGTTATATTTCCGGTATGCTCAAAAAGAGAGTGGAAGTCCTGGCTGAGGTATGAAATATAAATAATGCTGGTTCAGTTTCCTGCCTGGAAAGAGAGATAAAACTACCAGTTTGCCGGTGGGGCTTGTGCTTGCCCTCGCCCTCTTCTGGTCTTACATCACAGCTTACATAGTGCGGCATTTTTCAGTAAACATTGGTTGCTTTTCTGATCTAAAATCTTATTACAACATCTTTACCTTTCACCTGACCTCGGTGCCGGGAAAGGTTATGGAGCGGTTC